GTTTCTGAAAAATCCTAACAAATACTGCACAGAAGTTCATGTGCAAGTATTCCATAAAATAAATTGTCTGGTGCTTTCTTAGAGCTTGGCTGAAAATCCCTGTATCACAGCTTTTAATGCTTTCTTGGTTGATTATGAGCAACTGTTCCACAAGCCACCCAGATAGAGTCCCTCTCTTGTGGAAATACTCACCAGAGCACAAAACCTGGTAGGTCTGGGTGTAGAATTCCCAACCATATATTACCATATGCTTAAAGTCAGGATCCAAATAAGTAATTGGTCATAGAACAAAAACCTGTGAAAATATTTCTGCTTGTTTATGGTTTTCCTAAAATGGACCACTGCAGGAAGCTCTTAGTGATTATATCAGGAAACGGGCATGGGTTACGCCTTCAAATTAAGAATGGATAAATGTTTTGGTAGCTCAGTGTAGACTTTAACTTTAGACATTTGGGCTAAAATATTTGTTGGCCTTTATTGTGTTGAACTTTAAAAGCCCTGCTTCTTAAAAATAATAATAAAAAACACCCCACATTGAATTTTAAATAAGTCCCATGAAGAGTTCTTCAGGACTGGGACCTGACGCTGTCATCAGCTGTTTCAGCTACTGTAGGCAAAATAACTACATGAAAACACTTGTTTTAAGACTTTTAAGGATTTCAAGATATATTTCTTTAGAGACATATGACCTGAATAATAACTACTGAAGATAGGTATAATGAGAAGTATGCATCCCTTGACCCCTTTTCTTCTTTCCTTACTTTTGGGTCTAACTAAGGAGCTGAAGCACTTCTGTTAATGTGGCTATGACACAGTAATGCTTTTGGACTGCTTTATCTACATGTTACTAATTTATTTGCGTAGCTTAGGCCAAAGCCCACCTACAGAGACAAAAGGTGCCTGTAGTAATTAGGGGAAAAAATCCAGCAAAGGCAAATTTTTACAACTTGTAACATTGGATTTATGTTTTATAATTGCAGATGACCTTAATGTAAATGGTATCATCATTGCAGTAGTATTTGTGGCTCTGGTAATGGCACTGTGTGGCCTTGGAGTATTTTATGCCCAAAAAAAGGGTTACTTTACAAGTAAGTAAAGTAAAATCACTCCTTCCTTCTGTCAAAAAAAAAAAAAAAAGCCTTTCCTTATGCCGACTGTAACATGTCCTGCTTTTCATGAAGGCTCTAACTCCATGGCGCTAAAGCGCATGACAGCAGCAACTTTAAAAGTGCAGACGTTTTCATTCTGCCCACCAGCACAAGTTCACGTGCTGTCGGAAAGGTCCGAGCGACCGGGTGCTGGTGAAGGGGAAACTAAGTTACTGACTCCCTCTTCTGGGTCCTGGCGAAAGCGCAGGTAGAGAAACCCTGATTTTTAGGATTGCTGCAAAAAATCTCGACACCGAGCAACCCTCTCCGTAGCGTTTACGTTAGCGCCTGTAGAGTTCAGCACAGCTAGAAGGGATGCCAAATGTCGGGGTCTGAAAATGTCTGCCGCCTAAAAGGCTAACAGAGCTGCTGTTAGAACTCATGGTCACTTGGAAGTTCATTTACCTTTGAAAGCAACTGGCTCTTTTTCTGTTTAAACTCACTGCACCAAAACCAGAATTTGGTTCAAACACCATCTAGAAAATGAAAGGCAGAATAAGCCATGAAGAACTATTTCAAAGAACTTTAAATCAGCTAAGGAAACTCTTCCTGTGCTAATTTTTTTTTCTTTCTTTTTCAGAAGAAAGCTCTTCCCAGTAAGTATCTTGGTGCAAGCAGTACACAAATCACTGCAAATTTAATTTACATTTCTGATTTAGAAACCGTGATTGCTCTTTAAGGCCTTTCTCACAATTCTTGTACAGTGGCTTTTTTTAACACAAACAAACCCAATCCTACACACCAGCTTTAGTAGAACCAGCGTGCTGGTCAGACAATGAATTAAGCATTATTACTGTGACAAATGTGCAGAGGTGTGTCTTTTTACATGGTTATGGTTTACACCTCTAACTCAGCTACAGGCATGCGTTTGTCCCCTCTTCAAACTGGACAAAAGAGGCTCAGAACCAAATTGAACTGTCCTCATATCCATGTCTACAGATAATTTCAGGAAGTATTTTGTAAAAGTATGACAGGTGGAGACTCTGAGAGTGTCTGGTCTACTCCTTTAATATGGATTGATTTCATGCGCTTAAACTTCTTAGGAGCAAGTCAGAATTCCTTAAGCTATGTTAGTGCTCCCACACAAGGCTATAATTGTGTGCTTTGGGGGAGGCTGCACTCAAATTTATGTATTTTTTTGCTTTAAAAGTTCATGTTAGCATTTTTAGGTAAGAGCAGGTAAAAAAAAAGTACTAAAGAAAAATACACATATTACTTTAAAGTACTCTGCGGTTTATACTGGATGTGAACTTGAGATGAAAAGCATAACTGGAAGCACCGCAAAGAAACTAGAGAAGGTAACTGAGCACTGGTTCATGAGATAATGGCAGCTGTCTAAAAGTATTCAATCATTTGTTATTGTAAATTTTTATAAGAGGGAAAATACTCTAAGGATTGCTGGGAATCAGGAATAACGCATTAATAAATAAGGTTCTCAAAGGTTTAAAACTAACACCAGAAGAGTCACTAACCTATGTGCCTTTCCTGTTAACAGAAAGACCAACTATCAATCTACAAGTGAAAAGGCAAGTATTTTGGCATTCAGTAGCTTTAGATTTCTTCAAAATTCTTTAGATACGATGGTTTTGCACACCCCCCCAACCTTACGTGCCACCAACACCTGGAGTTACTTATCTCTGCATTTATAGTGTCCTATTACTTACTCTCAAGTGCCATACAACTACAGCACCTTCCTCCATACTCTGCCAACCTTTCGTTTAGCACACTAACCAGACTTTCCCCTGGTTGTCTTCTACCTAGTTCTTCCTACATCTCCCTGTACTATTAGCTTCTTTCATTATTTTTTCCCCTTTTCATGATTA